TTAATTAATCTAATTGGGCATTCATGCACCATGGAGGTAGGGGCAAGGCATTTGCCAGTGCTCAACTGACAAAATCACCACTTACAACAGTGATTGCATAGGCCATGGACAGTGTGAAAAAAAGCCAGCCAGCTAGAAAGACCTCCCTGTCTATTCTAACAACATCAGTGTTGACTGATGTGATGACCTTCAAAGTAAACAATGGTGCTTCAACATCAACAATTGACCAAGTGATGCCATCCTTCACAGCAGAGACAAAGTGAGGAGTCCCACCTCTGTAGAAGCTGGACCATTTCCAGTCAAGAGGCCATGTGGACCAACCCAATAGCAATCAAGGGTTATAGTCCCAACAATAACATTGACCACCATTATGGACCACTTTGTACTCCAACAGATCTAACTACTGGAGTGGCACTGTTAAAAGATTATCACAAAGTGGATCAAGACCCTGGCCCTATATAATAGGGAGGAAGGTGGGCTGTGATAGAGGGAAATTCCTTTATTGGAGCTAGAAGATGGCCCTGGCCAAAGCCTGGGACATCATCAAGGCAACTACTGTGGTCAATCACTGAACAAAAGCTGTCCTAGGATCTGCTAACTGGACTAAAATAGGGAAGAAAGGAGAACAGAGCATCGTTCTGGCCATTGGGTAAGAATAGATATTGTATTTTCTCATTTCATTTTAGGAATTTATTACGTTTTGTATATGCATTTATTTTAGTATTGTCCAGTATTATTATACATGTTAATTAAAGAATCACCTTTACATGTCATGCCATTGCTAAGAATGTTTCATTTTCATGTTAATGTATCATTAAAACGATTGCCGTATTAAGTATTTCTTTATTAAAGCATTTTTATACATATATATGTCTTTTCATTATTTAAGACTGTTTCGTTTTAATGAGCTACCATAGATTTATTGTTTCATGATTATCACCCTATTTTCCATTATGTAGTGTATTTATCTTTACGAAATGTTATCAGTAGGAATGTTTTATATCTGTTTCAATCCTTGTTAAAAGAGTGTTGCACTGTGAATTTCATATTTTGCATTATTCTTTTATTTATATAGTTAAATAGTAATCTTGGAGTGTATAAGAGTTTTTGTATTTTAACATTAATAACCAAACTTGGAAAACACTTAGAAAGACCTATCAAAATATATAACTCAGATTCTCCACGTAAATTTATGGATTCATTGGCACATAATCACTTTATAGATACAATAACTAACGAGGACATGAGAATTAGGTGGAAGTAAAGTGGGTGTACATCTTTAAAGCAAGCTCTACAGTTGGCAGTGGAACTCGAATCGACTAGAGTCACAGATAAACAACGTAAGGCCCAACTAGAAGTTACAGAGACATCAGATCAAGAAGTTTTGAAACATCAACTCCTTCTGACGATAGTCTAGAAGAACTGGAAAGATTAATTAGACAGCTGATTACAAAGAATAGTGGAAATAAACCACAATACAATAGATACTTCAAATATAACTTGAAAGGATATGTTGCTAGGATCTTCAGACAAAAAAGCGAGAAGGGAATAACAATTCCTCCTAAAAGGTATCAGTAAAAGGGGACTGTTACGGATGTGGGAGACACAACCTGTACAGCCGAGACTGTGAGAAATTAACTATTGTTAATTAACCAAGGAGGCAATGCTCTAAGGATGAGTCATTGAGCCTAACCAGATAAAAAGAACAACAAAGGGTTGACCAGATATCAGGAAATAGGAATTAGCTAGACTTATGAGGCAAAGCTCAGCTGAAAATATCCCATCTTTCCCAAGTGAGATGAGAAGTTCTTCATGTATTCATGTAAATTCAGTTCCTAATATGCACTCTTCCTCGGTGTCAATTGCACACATACATCATGAGGAGTGGAGAAGCTTTCTACAGTAGGGGTAGCTTCCAACTCTCTTCTTGGTGAATTTTTATATTTGCTTGCTTCATCATTGTTAGAAACAATATACCACCTTACTATTGTAGCTGTAGAACTAGTGTCAATAAACTCCAAAACTCGTGGACAGGTCTAGTTTCTTTAAATAACTGTTAGGCTAGGCTAGCTTCAAATGGCTTCACAATCTATGACCAAGAAATCCCTATATACTAATGATAATTTCTCCACCAGAGGTTCAACTTCCAGTGACAACAAGAGGATTGTTACTGTGCACCAAAAAGTGAAATACTCATACCAGGAGTTATTATGAATATGTCTACCTCTAGTGGCTGAACCACAGTAGAACCAAATACTTCAGGAATAACTCTTGTGGATCTGAAGAATATAGATGTTATACAAGACTTTACCTAAGAAAGACTTGAATCAGCTTATGATAAAATGAAAAGCTGCTATGATATTAAGGTGTTGGTAAGAGTCATATGTTGTACTGAAAAGAACCAAGGATGAAATTTACACAATCCAGAAGGTTAGACAGTCCAAGGCAAAGTTTATCCATCATTATCATCTTCGGAAGTATATTTGTGAGAGTATGACCAACTGGATAACTCCAGATTAGAATTTTCTGGCGGAAATACGACTCATGGAAGAGCTCAGTGTTCTTGTCGAGATCACTTCCAGAAGATCAACAAGAATAGAGCCACCAGTGAATTCGCTCGACCGCCAACCAAAGGAGAACTTCCCAATGACAGGACAGCAACTGACTACAAGGGACAAGTCGCCATCTTATCTGTATACCATAAGTTTCGGAAGAGAAAATCACCAAAAAGACTTGGCGAATGGACACTTTAGTGAACTGTTTTAAT